ACAAGATTTAACATTTAGTGATTTTCAAAAGAAGTTGAGACATTAATAAAATTCCAATTAATTTATTAATCCAATTCAAAAGTACCTTAATTATTGATCCATATATAATATAATGATTGTAGATTGAGACCAAATCATTTTCTAAATGATTCTAATTCTCAATTTACTTGGCTAAACAATAATTAAAAGAATTGAAAAACTAGCCATGCATGTTTTCTTTAGTTATAAAGATCATTTAATTATCATTTTAGTACATGTATTCTCCATTTGCTCTCTAATTCTTGCTGTGACAATCTAGGAATAAATTTGAAATAAAAAGGCTAAAGATCACTAAGTTGAGAAAGAATATGCATTGTGTGGATAGATATGATATTTACCGTTTTATTTAACTAATTAATTAAATCAAAATTAATATAATTATAGAGTGCCGTTTGTATAGGGATTGGGAATGGGAGAAATTAAAAATATTTGAGCATATAAAGAATGGCATTAGCCTAATAAATCAGGCGTAATACAGTTTATTTCAGTTGTATTGGGCAGTGAACAATGCACTCGCCGGCCACAACACGACCCACGACCCCTAGGGCTAGGAGGATATATATATATACAGCAACTTGCAAATAATCTTATCTATCAACTGCGTGCTGCACTAATTAACAAGTATCAATAATTTAGTCACGATATACCCGTGCAGTGGGGGTATGAATGAGATATCCCGCACGAGTTTAGTTTACTGATTCAGTAAATAATATTTGAAAAAAGAGATCAAAGTTTGAATTTTGACAACGATAGTGTGAGGATTATGTCTAAATTGGGCAGATTCCTTGTGGGCATTTGTCATGTCTGCTGAGTCATTGAGTCACTATGATTTACATCATCCTAAATGTTATGTCGAGTCAGAGTGTGGGCCCTTGAGGTTGGAGATTTAACCTTTTAGAAGAAGAGATTTCAAGTTTAATTTGAGCTCTGTAAATGCAATTATCTTAAAGTTCATGAAGTCTTTTAGTTGCTTACGAATAGGATTAAACTTTAAAACTCATGACCTTCTGATATGATAATTATGTTTCACCCTTTTGCCTACTCCTTTTGGGCGTCAATCCCATATTGAAATAGTTAGATGAAGGCATTAAGCTATTTAGGTAAAAAAAAAAAAAAAAAAAAAAAAAAAAGCTAGATTGAAATAAAATTTGGTCTTAAATTTAATTTGTGCTTTTATTTTCATTTATTACATTTAAAAATAGTGAGTAAAATATGTATACGAATTGGCATGTTTTTAGTAAATATATGTGGAAAGAGCTACATGAATGCCTTAATTATCTCTGTAAGTTTTTAGTAAATTTAGAATTTTCCGCATAAAAATGATAATTTAGCCAATTGTTTACCATTTACCCAAAATAACTTCCTTCAATTCAAATTGAAATTGATTATTTTTTTTGAATACTATTGACTCTATCTATTATAAGGTAGTATTTGTTCTATACTTTCTCAAACAATATCTCACCACCGAAATTCGATACGATCCTGTAATCTTCCCTCAAGGAAAACCACAAAGGTGTCATCTGAGCACAAGGTGTTTGACGAAATTGATTAATTTTTAAAAAGTCAAATAACAACATCCGCTCATACTTAGCTTGTAGTTGTGATGGATATATTAGGAGAAGAGGCTCAGGGCAAACCGACCCGAGGTGGTCGCGGTGCGATAAGAGGGGACTTGGGCGCCCTCGGTTGGGGTCGAGGTAGACCCTGATTGGGGTAGACCTCGGTCGGGGTCGATCACGAGGTTGACCTCGGCCAGACAGAGTAACCCGAGGGGACTGTCACGTGGGAGGGGCGTCCTAGGCCTCGGGCGTGCCCACGTGACTCGGTCAAACCGTGATCCAACCACCCACCCTATTCTCAAGGGGCGGTTGGGAGGATTAGCTAGTATAAGATGACATGCTCTTGTCTTGTTAAGGACATCTAAATCTTTTTTCATCATTACGTTCTCTTTGTAATTTTCCTACGAAAGTCTATCCATACGAAAGTTGTCCCCGCGACATATACTCGTTGCCTTTTCCAATTTACTATTTATCGGGTTTAGTAATTCGGGTCCATCCCGGGTAATTAAATCCATCAAGTTGATATTTGATGGCGTAAATAGATTCATAGTATACGAGTTTTGATCTATGCCACTTAGTTATACAGGACACAATATAAATGTAAGAGGTAGTAATAAGGTCGAGAAGTTAAGAGTCTAACTATATGAGGTCGGTAAGATTTAGTTAGTACAATACAAGTTGTGCGGAATCAACCCCTTGCACTAAGTAGGATGTCCTATTTATACTAAGTGGCAAGGGGACATAATGATGATAAGTTGTTGACATATTGACTTGACATTCATTGATTGGGCACTCAGGTCGGTCACGCCACATGTAAATTGTTGATGTGACGATTGGTGAAATGACAACGGCATTAACCTATCTAGTAGCGATGGTTGGAAAATGTGTAAGATATCAAGATCGATAAGTCATCTTATATTTAGACTAGGGAGTCTTATATATGATATCGGGTTCGGAAAAGTCTTCTTATGTCAAGATTTGGATGTCTTATGATATCGAAATTAAGAAACCTATTGATATTGAGTTTGGAAAACCTATTGATATCAAGGTCGGGAAACTTGTTGATTTCAAACCGAAAAGCCTATTGATATTTAGACTGAGAAGTCAGTTAAAATTGTGATCAGGAAAAAATCACAAGTATACAATAACCAAGTCATCAGAAAATTAGGGTTGCTCTATATCCCCATTAATACTTAAATGTGAAAATATTATTAAGGAAAAGTTACAATGTTGATTGACAACGGTAACTTTTGCCCCAGATACTATATATATATATCATGTATGTCAAAATGATTATATTGAGTTTGATTGGCAATTATTTTAACCCAATTTTCCTTATAATAATACTAGATACAAAAGTACGTGTGTACTGATTGAGCAGTACGTTATATTTTTTTTCTTTAAACATTGAGCTATTAAAATTGGCAATAAAATTAATGTTGTGAGAAATGAAAAACTTTACTAAAAAGATTCTGAAAAATTAATTAGGCGGTGCCGATTTGCCTAGCTTTAACTTTATTTTTTGGTGATGTAGAATATTGTTGACCAATCATTAACGATAGACGGTGGTTGCAACTTACTAATTTTTTTTTATTTTTTTTTTAAAGATCAATAACAAAAGGAAGCCAAAATAAAGAAATTTAAGAAAGAAAAAATTGTAATTTATATCATTTCATAATATGTCATTTATAAATGTCAGTCATAAATTATTAGTGGTGTAAATATTGTTATATAATTTTTAAAACAGTATATTATTGTGTCTCTCATAATTTAGATGTTGTCATTTAATTTTCTTCTCGTACGGTATGAGAGTGACAATACATATAATATTTTGAAAATTAAAAAGTAACATTTATACTATTAATAATTCAGAAATGACATTGATAATTGACATATTATATTATAGATGAACATAAATTACAATTTTATTACTGCAGCAGTCCAAAAAGGGTACTCAAAGCACCTAACTTTTGAAACAAAGAAAACCGCGTAAATACAAATACCCCATCTATTGCTTTTACATTCACTTTTTATTTTTATTTTTATTTGTCCATTCATCATTCATCATGCACGTATGGCGGCAGATTAGACTCCACAGAAACGAAAATCAAGAAAATGAAAAACAGGAAAATGCATGATAAAAATGCAAGAATAATGTAGAATAAGGTAAGTTATTATTATTATTTTTTAGTACACACTATTACAATGTAATATATGTTATATACTTTTTCTATCTGTTGCAGTTCAAAGAGTGAATATCCCACTACTGGAGTTCAATCCTGTGGCCTTCCCTTAAGGAGAGTCATAGATGTGTCATCTGAGTACAAGGTACTTGACTAGAAGGTAAGTTATTAGGAGGATATTTTACTCTCTCCTTGAAATGAGTAACAAGAAAATAGAAAATAAGAGAATGCATGATAAGAGACACATATTATGCAAGGTATTTGGAGCACACATTACACTCTCCTCGAAACAAAAAATGAGAAAATTGAAAACAGGAAAATACATGATAAGGAGAAACGAGATAAACGTATTATGCAAATTATTAGGACACATTACCCTCTTCTTGAAATTTTTTTGTGCATTATAGAGAAAATATTGTGCGACGAAGTTCAACTGAGAAGATATTAATAAGAATTGAATTCATTATCTACTGAAATGAGAATCACGCTCCACTCATTCGCACACCCTTTTAGGACGAACTATTTATATTTGAAGTATACCCCATGTGTTTTACACACATATATACATATATACATATACATATACTTAAAAATTATATGCAAATTAATATTTTTTTATTAAAAAAAATGCAAAGTAATATTTTTTAGCATGCCCCAAAGGCTAAAAACTCAATCTTTAAAAAGTTAAAAGCTCTTCAAAAAATCCTCTCCGAACACCTCTGCTAGCATTAGGCTTTTGAGGCAATGAGGTCAATTGGTGTCACTGAAACTTTAACCACAAATGTTATTTATTTCTTTATGGTAAGTATATATATGGTAAAATTTATTTATATTTAATATATAATATAGATATAGATATAGACTATAGAGAGAGAGGAACCAATCCATAAGTGCAGCAAAACATATGGATAGAGAGATAGAGAGAGAGAGTGTAAATGTGTTACATATAGTATGATGAGACAAATGCCCTGAAAGAGGGGAATGCTATTATTTATTATTATTATTATTATTATTATTATTATTATTATTATTATTATTTCTCAATTCTCAATAATTTTGGGGTTTCAACCAAATGAAAATGAGCTTTTCATTTTCTTTTGAAAAATAAAATTAGATTCCATAAATAAATATTTTCATTCCATGTGGGGATTGGTGGTTGTATAGTGAGAGGCTCCCTTTGTCTTATTGAGTGCTATATAATCTTCACTATACACCATTTTCACAGAACTCCATCCTCCCCAAACAAACCATAGCAAAACAACAAAAATTCTTTCCAGATTCTTCTTTCCCCTTCTTGGGAGAATATTCTGTCAGAGTGTACTGCAACTGTCTGTCAAAAACAATGGAGGAAATGGCTTCTTTTTGGAGTTATCAAGAAGTGAGTTATTCCCCACCCTTGTTTGGCTTATGGTTCTGCTGTTTATACTCAACTGGACTAAATCTTCATTTCAATTTAGCTATGATTGATGGTGTGTATCATATGTTTTGTCATTTAAGGTTGTTTTTTTAATGTGTGATGTTCATCTTAGAATTAATTACAGACTTAATGTGGGTTTGTTTCACTCCCCGTGGGAGTGCGTAATTAGCCTTTTTGATTCGAGCCATTCATGTATGGACAACTTAGACTGATTTACGTTCTTGTGATCCTTTGCTGACTTTACAAAGTACACACTCGTGAGTAGTGGATGCTCGTCATCCCGAGAAAAAAAGGTTATTTCTGTCATAAGTTCTTTTTGGGCTGAACAATTTTTGCTGGAAAGGCTCAGTAGGTGTAATATATTTTCAAGAATTGATCATTGCAGGGCCCAATGTTCCATTTTCTTTTAAAAGGTTATAGGTATCCAATGGTGCCGTTTAATTGCATGTACTGTATTGGTTGAGTTTTCTTTTTTTTAATGTTTCATGTTTGTTTGTTTTCTGTAAAAGATTGGCCAGTTCTTGAATTCTGATGAATTTACAGACAATGGATGAACTGAAGCAGAATCTACGTTAATTGAGTTTGCTTTTTTGAATGTTTTGCAGTTTTGTTTGTTTTTCTGTAAAAGATTGTTCAGTTGTTGAAATTGTGATGAATTTGCAGACAATGGATGAACTGAAGCAGAAGCTTTTGTATAGTACGTTTGAACTGGAAAGGTTTAAGGCGGAATCGAGTGAGGAGACGAGGAAGAGCAAAGAATATGTGAAGCAACTGGTTCAGCTTCTGAAGGTTGCTTGTAAGGAGAGAGATGCAGCAAGAGATCAGCTTCAGAAGCTGCTGGGAACAGGAAGTGTTGTTCTGTTGCCTGCAACGAAGGCGAATTCGGGTGTTACTGAATCGAACAGCCTGTCCGAGACCTACAACACTCAGGGCTCATCCCCCGTCGAGTCCTTTCTCGAGGCAGTTTCATCCCCCGAGCTCTTGAATAGCAGTGCAGTTGATTCTAGTGCCATGGTTCAGAACAGCCTGGTTTCTGCCCCGGTGGATCTGGCAGGGATGGCGATTGAGGGTCTCGCGAAGGGGAAATGTTTGCCTCAGAAGGGGAAGCTTCTGCAGGCCGTGCTCGAGGCGGGGCCGCTTCTGCAGACGCTGCTCGTGGCGGGGCCGCTCCCCAGGTGGCGCAACCCGCCTCAGCTGAAGGCCTTCCATATCCCACCGGTTTCCATCAGGGGCTGCAATGATGCTGAGATTTTTGCTCATCACAGCCCTGCTGTTGCGGCTTCATCAAGAACACTTTCACAGCTTTGCTTCGAGATTCCTGGCCCGTCTCCACAAATGTTGTCAATGCCTATGTTGAACTTTGGATCCTGTCTTGGCAGCCAGAGGTTGATGTCTGGTGGCTCAAACATGGCTAGCAGTTATACCCATCTCGAAAAGCGACAAAGGTTGCTGTGAAGAACTCAAAGCATTTTTGTACAAAGACAATATTTGGGTGGGGATGTAAATGGGATTATGGGGTAGATACATACATTTCATTTTTAACTCAATTCTTCCTTCTATGACAGTTTGCAGCTTTTTAGCCATTCTTAGTTCCTATGTAGTAATCTATTAGCCTTCCTGGTTTGAGCCGATCAGTTCTGGACAACTTAAACTGGTTTATGGTTTACCTTTGCCGGCTAGGGTCAGAAAGCGGGGTTTACTCAGTGCACACGCTCGGGTAGTGATTGGGGGTTCCCATGTCACGCGAAAAAACAAATTAAAAGTTATGATGTGTTTTTTGTCCTTTGGGTAGCAAACAAAGCTGAAATCAATCATCTTGATGATCACAAAGTGCAGACAAAACAAAGGATAAACCATAGTTATCTTCATTGTAATTTGTGGTCACCAGAGCTCCAAGAAGCCCAAAATTATTGAGTCATTCCTTGCAGAAATTCCCATTTCCCATCATTATTTGTCTGTTCTTTCCTGGAGTGACATGAAAACAGAATTGGTTCCATATTATGCTGAACATTTGACCTCAGGATCTTTCCCAATCTTTCTGTCTGCATTTCTGCTGTGTTCTTTGGTTTGATCGCGTTCGAGATCGTGTGAGGCTTAGGAAAACAAGGTTCCTAGACTAGGTGGCTGTGCTGGAGTTTCCAACAAACTAGGATTATACCTTAAACCTCAAAACTGTCTTCTTCATTTCTGCAACTTCTGCAGACAATGCCTTCACCAAGTCCCACTGTTTCTCCAGGAATCGACGATAATCCTCCCTGGGATTCATCAATCATTGCCTTAGTGGGAATCGTGTGCATGATCTTTCTTCTGCTGAGCTACTACAAGCTTCTGCAGAGACAATGCTGCGAATTCAGATCGGTAGTCTCTTCGTACAGAGGCCCGGGCCAAATGCACCTCTTGGATGAGCAGAACCGCGAGGAGCCTTCTTCTTCTTCTCTTGTGAGCTGTGGGCTCGACTCCTACGTCGTGCACGCCCTCCCCATCACCCCGTTCCGAAAGGCGAATCAAGAGAGGTCCTCGGATTGCGCGGTTTGTCTGGGAGAATTCGAGGAAGGTGAGTGGATAAAACACCTGCCCAACTGCTCACATGTGTTCCATGTTTCCTGCATTGACACTTGGTTTCAGACTCATTCAAGCTGCCCACTTTGCAGATCATTTGTGTACTGCGTTAAAGTGCAGCAGCCTGAGTTTAGTTTCCCATTTCTGGAGCCTCTTCCCAGAGAAGAAATCCATCGCCAGAGATTATCACACTACCAGAATCTCCAGTCCCAAACACTGCATAGTTCTTCACTATGATCTGATTCTCCGATAGCCTTTCTGTTGGGCGGAAACCTGAAGGGCCAAGTCCAGCACCTTGCCTTTTCAAATGTGGTTCTTAGCACTATGCAAGTACCAAGAAAATAAATTTGCGCATTCGCTAATAGTTATAGTTTTGACATAGTGATAAGCATTGAGAGCTGCATATGAAACCGTGTCGCTCTACATTTGGGCCAACAATAGGTTTCATTAGGGAGTGTGGGTTCTTGGATCTGAGATCATGAGAAGGAACATCAAGAAACTAGAATGCAGATAGCAAGAAATCAATTCACTGCTGAAATGTCAGTCAGAAAGATATCTTCATCTTTCCTGTGAGGCTGGCTTCAAGAATTGTTTCATCACTTCATGAATGATGGCTCTCTTTTTTTCCTTTTTCTTTTTCTTCTTTTTTAGCTAAACCAAGCCAAATTTCCCCACTTATTCACAATTGTTTGTATATATACATGGATTCTGAAAAGCTACGGAGAATTTATATGTCATTTGTTTATTTAAACTAAGTTGTCACACCTCTGTGGCAGGAATCGAACCTCTATCTTTTTATTGTAATCAAGTCTTAAGTAAAATTTCTTATCCACTAAACCAATGACGAATTATTTTGTGGACCCGGGTCCAAATGTTCACAATTTACCTTTTAAAAATTCACAATTTTGTATACTACGAAGTACGAACACACAAGATTAACATATATGTAATTGATTGTCTTGTTTTGTATTCATAAGTTCCTTTCAAATACTGCAGTCACACACCATGTATTGTATTCACAAATTCCCTTCTGCAACTGTTATATATTTTGACTTAGAAACACAATTTATATTCTAGAAGTTTACAATTCCAATACTAAACATACACAATTTATACGTCGTTTAGGATTAGGGTCTACCTTGCAAGGTGACCCTGGTACATGATATAAGGAGCGTTATGTTGTGCAACCGTGTGCACCATGTATGGTGCATACGGTTGCAAAAACGACGTTGTTTTGATGTCCAACTTAAAAAAAATCAGTTTCGATTGTCGTTAACGGCGTTATGTTGTGCATAATTTGAACTATACATCCATAACTTCATAACTATACATTCAGAATTGCATAGCTACACATCCATAATTTCATAACTATAGATTCAGAATATGAAATTATAAAATTATGAACATATGTTTACGTAATTAACGATAATTGAAGATGGTTTTTTTTTTTTTTTTTTTTTTAAAGTAAAACGACACGGTTGCACAGCATAATTTGCCATGATGTAATAACTCCATCCTAAACCAATATCTTGGGCTAAGATTTTATCGTAGCAGCACCCAATTAGCTTAGCCAACATATCAATTTAGCTAAACCAGCTTAAATAATTTCCCAAATCAACAAAGATTAGAAGTATAGCCCAAATTGATAATCAACTGAATGGGCGATGGTAAATTATGCCCTGGCATGGTGAACACGGATCCAAACGGCGCCATTTTTACGTAAAAAAAAAAAAAAAAAAAAAAAAAAAATCGCGAATGTGGTGTTAACGGCGCGCGTTTGGTCAGATTATAAATTTTCTGTTATAAGTTTATAATCTCATAACAGAAAATTCATAATCTTATAACAGAAAATTCATAATCGCATAAAAGAAAAACATTTATTAAATTATGAATTTTCTGTTATGATATTATGAATTACGAAACGAAGCAGTTTGGGACGCCTTTCTCCCACGACCAAGATCCTTACTTGCGGCCGCTGTTGCTTCTATGCATGCATGGCGTCAGGCACGCCCAATTGCTACTGCCCAAGACCACTTGCTGTCCGCCCCATTGCCACAACCGCAAGGAGACTCCGACACACAGACTGCTACACAAGCTGTACCACCACCAAGGTTGTGTCGTGTCGACGTTGGATACATACACGACACGGGCAAGGCCACAGTTGGTGCAATTCTTCTAGACATGAATGGAGGTTATGTCTCGGCCTTCAGTGCGCCACTCCGAAATTGTTTCTCACCACTTATGGCCGAGGCGTTGGCATGCAAAGAAGGCTTATCATGGTTAAAAGACCGGGGAGAGCAAAACATAGAGTTATATACGGATTGCTTGACGCTACAACGTTATCTTACTACACCACTATCTGCTGCCATTGACAGCTGCAGAGCAGCTGCGTCTTTATTTGAGTCTTAGCTTGTTCGTTTAATTTTATTTCTAGATTAGACAATTATTTAGCCCATGCTTTAGCTTCTACCGCTTACCAGCAACCTACTGCTATGTATTGAGATCTTCTCTCACATGACATTATTGCGGCTTATTTCTAATGAATTACCACTTATTTTTCAAAAAAAAAAAAAATATGATTGTTCGTGAATCCAGTTATAATTTTTATAAAATTGAATGACCTAATTATAACTTCACTGGTAGTTTGAATACTTATTTTGACTTTATTTCAACATTTAATTGTATTTACTGTTTCTTTTAATTAATTATTTATTTATTTTTGTTTATTGGGTTCACATGTAGATATAATTGTACTGCTAACTGATTTAATGCTTTGTAACAAAGATATGTGTGTGTATGTATGCATAATAATAATAATAATAATAATAATAATAATAATAATAATAATAGTTAATTTCAGTAATGATCCTCTGACTATATTAATTTTTTAAAATTAATCCTTGATTTTTAATTTAGACACTTTAGGTCTTTTGACTTTCAATTTCATTTCAATTGAGGTCCTTTCATTAGAATACAGTTAATTGAATTTTAAATAAAGAGGTAAACCCGTCATTTCACCTGCCTATGTATTATTATTCGTATTTCTCTCTTGTATACGCGATATATATGAACATAATCTCAGTCGAAGCCCTAGAATGTTCCTCGTCGTTCCCCATTTGCTGACTGCTCGTGTATGTGTTTCTCCATTATTGAGATATATTTACAAGGTATAACACTGAAATATGAAGGGAGAAATACGAATAATAATACATAGGTATGTGAAAGAACGAGTTTACCCCTTCATTTTAAGTCCAATTAATCATATTCTGATGCACTACTGAAAATTATGGAATTTCCGACCACCTGAAAGTGATCTTAAATTACTGGTAGTAGCATAGAGGACATCATAATGAAATGAGATTGTGGTGTAAGAAGCTTTAAATTTTCGTTGCTGTGTATATGACTGAGATCTTAGTTGTACTATGAACTCTTTATATTACAAGAACCTATTGATATTTGGTTGTAGTAGTTTTTCCCTTACATGTTTCATGAGTTGTAAGATGCGTGTCATAGATTATCATGTGAAAGTATTGAACAAAATATTAATATTTATTATATTTCTATAAAATACTTGGTAAATAAATATATAACATATTTTGTATTATAACTTTGATATTTAATTACAAGATAATGTAAAAAGAAGACAACGGACAATGTAGTGAATATAATTAATTAATGAATTTGAAGGTAAAGAATCTTTGAATTGTAGAAAATAAAGATAATATAACTAATGAAATTATATATCATTTTAAACTTTTTATAATAAATATTTTTTTTTCTTTGAATAAAGGCATTATAGACATCTAATTCTAAATTAATTAAATACATATGTATTATTTTTTGTTGTACCTACCAATTAATTTAATTTAATAAGAGTAATAAAATGGCGTACATACTCTTCATCCACCACATTGAAGTCATTGATTTTTTTTTTTTTTTTTAATTTGCATTCATTGTTGAGACAAATTGTTTTGGGAGTTTGTCAATGACATTTGCTACAATTGCTGTCAATATATTATGATAATAAATAATTCGAAATATATGGTTAAATAGATATTGTTATAATGATATCGTAAAAATTAACTTATAAATTTCTTTAGAAGTTTTCATACATTGATAAATTCTGAGAATGATGTGTAAACTTGTTCAATTTGAACCAGTGGGATGTAACATTGTCAATTCTTTTGAAAATGGTCCTATCATTTTAGAGTCCATGTGTAATTTATTCTGATCAACAACTTTGTAATTAGGTCGCGCGGGTTTGACAATGATATAAGAACAGTTTTTTCCAATAAAAAAAATAATAGTGTAATATTTGTAAAATAATTGTACAATTGTACCGTTATAAAAATACATACAAAAAATATTAATATCATAATAACCTAAATCATTCCAATAATGCAAAAGCATAATTGAAATATCGAGTTTTGTTCTAAATAATCAAAAGAAGATTAATTAAAACGAAAAAAAAAACTAACCTAAATTTATTTATTTGTTAAATGGAAAAATATTATTTTCAAAGTTCATGATTTATAATTTTTTATGCTCAATTTGAATGTTTTGTATTTAGTCAGGCTAATTATTTGACCAAAGTTTATGTTAAATTTTATATTGTATTTAATTTTTTAATACTTCATATATTTTAATATATTCGTAGTATATGCTTAACAATTATGCCAACTCTGATTGTAATGAGGTTCGAACCTAAAACCTTTCTTATAGGAACTAATAAATAAGTTAAGAATAATAAATAGTTAACGGACTATTCCGTTACTAAAGTTTATACTAACGGAATTCATGGTTATTTAAGGGAAGAAAATAATATAATAGATGATAAATAAGGAAAATCATAAACAAATACTAAAATTAAAATAATATGAATCATTCATTTTAAGAAACAATTACATCACCATTTTTTTCCAGTTAAGGGCCTAACATTATTCGCTCTTATTAAATTTGTAGATAATAAGTATGAATGAAGGTTATACCCTTCATTTATGTCCGCTTTTTCCGTTAATTTTTTTATATACATTATGCTATAAAGGTTGTACTTTATAATATTTTGGACATATCCCTACCGTTATAATTTTCGTTATCATTTCCACTATTATTACTATGCACATGCATCCACCATATATTTTCTTATCTTCTTCAATAATAATAATATTTATAAATTATAATTTAGAGTCATTTTATATAATATAAATATCAAATGTATAAAAATGTTTACATTATTATTATTATTATTATTTATAATAATTTAAATATCAAAAATCTTAATATAAAATAATAATATTGGACACCTAATTTTTGTGCATCGCGCATAAGAAAATACTAGTTCATAAAATAAGAGAGAACGGGTTTATAAAATCATGAATTATATTAGCTAATTGGTTAGATTCAATTTTTTAGTGTGATTTGACACGTATAATCTTGATGACCCAATCTTAATTTATAACAATTATTAATGAATTTATGTATATAATATATATACTCCAATAAATATAATATATTGTATTATATAAATGTGATGGTGTAATAGTTGAAAATAATAATTACTCCAATTTTGAAATGAGTTCTACTACATAGACTCCCAAAATTCTACTCCTTCATTTATACTTCCTAAGGTGGCAACTCATAATTGGTTATTTTCATCATGTGGGTTCACAGAAAAATGTCTACATCAAAAATATGTGAGAGGAATTACAAGAAAAATGTCTACATCAAAAACATGTGAGAAAGATTACAAGTTGAGAATTTAAAATGGGAGTACACCAAGTATTTTTAATTTTTCTTTTGAAATGCAAAAGAATTAAAGACGTCTGTCACATCCAGGCTTTACCCAATAAATTAAAATGAGAACTGAGAAGGCCTCACAGGATTGGGCCCAGATTGAGTGAGATTATCCAAATCCAAAAGGGCAGCGATTGTCGTGAAATCGGATTACCCGTACAAAAAGAAAACAAAACGACCATGACTGACTGGAAAAAGAAATAGTAAAGTCACCGGCGAAAGGTTCCGTTTCCACCTCAGCTTTCTAAAAGGAGCAAACATCTATTGCTCGGCGCTGGCTTTCCGGCGAGCTTGTAGTGTATGTATACTGCGCCGGTGATCCGCACACTTTTGCTTAACGCGGTAGGTAGGTGAGACTGTAATCTCTCTCAGAGTTGCACCTAACGGAGTTTATTTGAACATGCAGTTTTATTGCTTTTTTGAAGTGTTCATCTGTTTGACTAGAAATGTAAACGTGCTAGGCGATTTGTTGAAGACAGTTGGTGCTGGTCGGGGGACGATTGGAATTGGATGGGATATGGCGCAGCTACTGTCGCCGCTTGTGAAGGAAAGCCGGTTGATCAAGGGGATATTCGCGGTGGTGGGAATCATGTCTACTCTTGTCGTCTACGGTCTCTTACAGGTCAGCTGCGACTTCTATTTTTACCCTGAGATCGTTGTGATTGGATATATATGTGTTTAATTCATTGCTATGTAATGAAAATTTATATCTACAAGTGTTTATGAATTGTGCAAAATTGAATGTGACAGCATAGATCATATCTCCATCTAGGTGTTAAACGGATTAGAGTTTAGTATTTCATGCTTAATTGAGATGGATGAGGATTCAAATACATCAAAATTTCATACAGTGTGAACCTTTGTATCAACATTTTATAAGAACATAATTCTATGTCAGCTATTATAAATGTGTAACACTGGCATATTCAAATTTAATAGAACACGATGATTGAAGATTTTCACTTGCAGGAGAAGATCATGAGAGTTCCATATGGACCAAATAAAGAATATTTCAGATACTCGTTATTTCTTGTCTTCTGCAATCGCATTTCCACTTCTGCTGTCTCTGCTGCAGTTTTACTGGTACTCCTATACTCCTACAGTCCTACTTTATGTTTGATTCGGGCATTGCATTGGCTTTATTATGTATAAACCTTTAGGTAATGTTTCATTTCATACGTACCACACTGGCACACTGCACAAGAATGTATTTTTTTTTTTTTTGCAAAATATCTCCTACCACAAGGAATAACATTTATTACCAAAGAATTTGATGATTGTTGATCAATTCACTGGGCACGATCTGATTCAACAACTTCCTTTCTATGTTCCCACTTTTCCTTTTTGACTTCAGGGAAGTAAGAAGGCCTTGGATCCTGTAGCTCCAATTCATAAATACTGTATTGTATCTGTGTCTAATATTCTTACCACAACATGCCAATATGAGGTGAGCTGTGTGTGCTATGACTTCTTTATTTCCCACCCCTCTTCAAAAACTTTTTAAAAAGGAAATGGAAAAAGAGATATCCATCCATTGTTTGGGAGCTCTTATTCCTTGTTGTGAGACTGAGATATGCGTAGTAGATGTAAAGTAACTACTTTTTGAATCCTTTTTTCAGGCTCTCAAATATGTCAGTTTTCCTGTTCAAACTCTGGCAAAGTGTGCCAAGATGATTCCTGTAATGGTAAGATTAGTCAACCCCTCTGAAATTATGTTGAGTAAAGTTAGCTATTAGTTATTAGCTGCTAGCTATTTGAATTTGAAAAATAACATATAAGGACATCAATATGTTTTGTTAAGTATTCTTTCTCAATAACATTTTAGATTTACTTCTTTAAAAAAAATACTCTGTACTTTATAATAAATACCTCAAATTTTAACAAATTTTTGAATATTTTTAGAATACTAAAATAAATAAATATGTGAAATTTATTACTCCGAATTAAAAAAATATCTTAGATCAATTGCTAGAAATACTTGTATTAAAACAATACACATAAGTAATTTGGGTCATTCACCACAGTTTTTCAATATGGTACTTACAACTTTCATAACAAAGAAATAACATCAACAATACACAGAACAAAAAGAGAAGGACATATTTCAATCACCCAAGAATCAAAGATGAAAATATCCCTTGTTTGAAACTTTTGAAATTTAAATAAAAAAGAAATACGAAGACTAGTTTACACCACCATAGCTTAAATAGTGGAGCATTGTCTTTTTATTTAAATCCTATAATCACTTTTCAAAAAGCTTGATAGATGAGCTTTATTTGAAACTTAGATTTTTGGATAAAAAAGGTAATTAAAAAAGCTATTTTACCAAAAACCCAAATTAGCTTTTTGACTTGAACAAACAACTAAAAGCTTTTCAAAAAGCTAGTCACCAAACACCCCCCATAACTAAGCCCCACAACTTGAGGTATTGAATACTATTGATAGGAAGGGTATAAATTGATTCCTGTGGAGATAAACTTTTCAGGATTATATGGATCTGTGCAAATCAATAGTCGAATAGGTGCTAGATTAGATTCAATATCTTATGGGGACCCTTAATTGAAATATTTAGAATTTGATCCCTCCTAGATTTTCTTTCATTGAAATATCTTTGGTAGCTCATAGGTTAAAGCTGCCTGTCCTCGTTGATTTTTTTAATATGATGTAGATTTTGGAATCATATTTTGTTTTGACTTCCCTTTACATTTCTTTGACTATGAAGATCTGGGGCACAATCATCATGCAAAAGAGATACCAAGGACAAGATTATTTTCTGGCTTTCTTGGTGACTGTTGGATGTGCATTATTTATTCTATACCCGGTAACAACAATTTCTGTATTAAGTGTTATCTGTTGTGCTGATAGGTTTTGAGATACTATATATTCATATCAATTAATATTCAAGATGCATTCACCATGTCAAACATTCAATATTTATTTTTATAATGTGCTTTTGGTTCTAGGCTGCAGGTGACTTTAGTCCTTATAGTAAGGGAAGGGAAAGTACAGTCTGGGGAGTTTCCCTTATGATTGGCTATCTTGGGTATGAATTCAATGCACATATTTTTTTTAATATAATTTTAAACCTTGGTTATGAATTCAACTCGCACATTGTTTTCTATCATCTTAAACCTTGAGTTATTCTATCATGATTTGTACAATTGTACATTAAGTTGTTTTTTTATTTTTTTATTTTTCCATTTGCATGTCCTTTAATAAATAAAATCAAAGGATGAGCAAAATGAAATTGAACGGTGCATTACTGCTCACAAAAGGAACAAACATAAAACACTTTTAGACTATATATGAATGCAAATTGCACAATCATGAATACTTTTCCTCACCAGTGCATGAGCAAGGGTTATTTTTATTACCTTCTCATATTCCCTTTTAATGTTTTGCACTAATTGTAAAAACACTTCCATCACAGGTTCGATGGTTTTACAAGCACATTCCAGGATAAACTATTCAAAGGCTATGATATGGAAATACATACTCAGATATTCTACACAACACTATGTTCTTGTTTCCTCAGTTTCAGTGGTAAGATTATTTTTGTTGTGGTAGGCTCCTTCTGATTGCTCTGCATGCACCTTTCTTTACATTACACTTGCACAAGCTCTCTCTATCATGTTCTTTTCCCTTGCATCCTGTTAGACATGTGCAAATTCTCATCTTGTCTGGTTTCTTGACAAAGTGGCTTTGTCTGTTTCATGTTTAGGCCTAATTTTGCAGGGAAATCTTTTGATGGCAATAGATTTTGTTTCACGCCATCATGATTGCTTCTTTGACGTTCTTCTCCTTTCAACTGTAAGTTGATCACCTGTAAAACATTTAATTCATTAAATTGCTATCATTATTGTTATTGTTTATATGCCCTAATTTATAATACCTAAATATGTATGATGCCATTTATAAACCATGAAACATTATGATTTCTTTTGTAGGTGGCCACAGCCAGTCAATTCTTTATTTCTTTCACAATCCGTAATTTTGGTGCTCTTACCTTTGCGACTATAATGACCACAAGACAGGTACAAAGGTAGATTTTGGGGTTTAGAAAGTTAACCTCTGAACATGTGGAGTTCTTAGCTCTAATCAGTTTTTTCTTTATGCTGTAGTTAGTGAGCATCTTGTTATCGTGCATGTGGTTTGGTCACCCACTCAGCTGGGAGCAATTCGTTGGAGCTGTAAGTTTTAATTCTGCTAGTTATCAACTTATTGTTCTCTACTAACTGTCCTTTAAGTTCTTAATACTGAACCTCGTTCAATCTGTTCAGGTAATCGTCTTTGGTTCCCTTTACTCGAAAAGCTTCTTGAGAAAGAAACCAAAACCTTTGCCCATTGAAGACTCCGAAAATGGAGCTTCATTCCCTTCAACGGGGAACTCATAGCTCCCAACACCTTGAAGTTCTTCATGTCCTCCTCTACAACACCTTAAAACTGCACTGAGAATCCATCATAGGAATACAGGTTTTCTTATTACACTCGTAGCCTCTGAAGGGTGATTGGGATCCTTTAACCGCATGTTTTCCATCTTCACATTCACACATTTGCTGGGTTAACTATTCTTTTGACTCCCCTTTTGTTACATACTGTTAACATATTATGTATTTTTAGTTAACAGATTTTATACATTCAGTTATTATGTACATTTAGTTAACAGATTATGTGTATAGAATCTGTTAATTGTAAGTACATAATATATTAACTGTATGTATATAATATGGACTAAAGTGGATCTTAGTCCACGATATAATTTGTGTTTAAATGGACATTAGGCTAAAATATTTGACGGATAGGCTAGGCAACTTGGTTTATTAATTTATTGTACTAATGTTGCTCCCATATCCAGAGAAAGAGTTTGTAAACACGGGACTGAAATACAGAAATCATTTCTATGTTTAGCTTTTGATGTTCTGTAGTTTAGATTCGTGGTGTCTCCTAATGATTAATGGTTATTTATTACTTGGAAGATATTATGTGTACTCGTATTTTTTACTCATAACTTCTATTCTCGCTCTCAAACTCTTTGGGAGTACTTTTTTGGGGACCTACATAATAAACATAGTCTATCTTTATTTGTTAGATCACAAAATAAATGTTAATGAGTAGAATTAGAAAGTATACATAGTAGAACTCTTATTACATGAAATAGGAATGAGTAAAAAGAGTTATATTATATGTACTCTTAAGTGCAATTTTATCAGAAGTCTTTTTGGAGTATCTTTTACCGTTGGAGAGAGATTGAGTTGGAGCCTTGGAGGGAAGAGAAAAGATTAAAGAGGGATGAAAACTGTATGAATTGTATTAGATCAATTGTGATTACAATTGTACAGAATGAAGAATATATACAACAAGTAATCATAAAGAGACTAGGATAGGAAGTTATAGTATGACTCAAATACAGGAATAAATTGTAATAGATTTTGATATATCAAATTGTAATTTGTAGAACCTCCAATTTTATTAGGTTTAAGTCTAGTCTTAGACCATGATCGGAAAATTATTAAGTAGTAAAAGAGAAAAACAGAGGAGGGAGATGTATCAAAAATGGAAGAAGATATCAAGCTTAAAATCAAGAATTTGTCTACTGAAAATGACAAATAGAAGAAGATGTACGCATATGAAGATGTATGTATATGATATGAACTTCACGCGGATGCCATACTCAGAAAGAATTCCCAGAAGAAAAATTCGAAGATATACACAACTTGAAGATTGTATGAATTTGACTTGGAGATCAATCATCGGAGTACATCAAAGAAGATTGGAGATATAACCAAATGATTGTATAGACAGATTGGAAGATGCTTGAAATAATGTCTCATGTTCGATTCTTATTAACATTAATTTTACAAGGTAAATTTTGAGGCGGCAAATTAATTAAGCCAGATGAAGTATGAGCGCTAGTCAATTTCAAGTTGGGTGCCGAACCAGGAGAAGTATAAGCACCACTTTCAAAGTGTTAAATGAAATAGTATGAGCACCGGTTTCAAAGTGTCAAATGAAATAGTATGGGAGAAATTCAAATTGGGCAGAGATCTCAATTAAGGATGTCAATGGGGCGAGGGCGGGGGATATATCCCCCGCCCCCGCAATCCCACCTCACTCCCCATACCCACACCCGCGCGGGTAATGAAATTCCTTCCCATACCTGTCAGAGATCTCAATTAGGGATGGCAATGGGCCCCGTCCCCGCAATCCCACCTCACTCCCCATACCCGCACCCGTGCGGGTGATGAAATTCCTTCCCATACCCGTCCCCGTGGGGATTTTGCGGGTGCGGGGAATACCCATGGGAATTTTGCATGTAACCTTAGTCTCATTAATAATATGAAACTTACATCTAATAAAAATTTTATTACTACAATTTATAATATTAGTGCATCAAAGTCTTCACCAAATAACTACCAACTAAAGTAGAGACAAGATATGAGATCTAACAGATTAAATAAATAACATAATACTTTGATATTGGTCCTTTCAAAAAAAAAAAAAACTTTGATATTGACACACACACACACACACACACACACACGCACAAACACACACCCGCGCGGGTTTAAAAATTTTCTTCCATACCCACACCCATTACCCATTTGGGCGGGGATGCGGGTAACCCGTTGGGTGCGGGTAGAATTGTCATCCGTAATCTCAATCCTACAAAAGAAATTCAAAATGGGCGAATGTTTCACTTACCAAAAACAGTATGTGATGAGATTTCACTTGCCAAATATAGTAAGAGATGAAGTTTGAAGCCATATTGAGTCTAAGTTAAATCTGAGAACAACAAAGGCGTGAAGATGAAGAAGATTTACTGGAAGAAATCTCAGAAAGAAAAATACTAATCCTAACTAGTATGAGATTAAATTAAAGAATACATTTGAAGTCTTATGATTGCTGTAATTTGGGGCAAACAAATAATACCCGGAGTATTCGGGTTGTCGAACCACAGAGAGGTGGTGTACTAATCACTAGCTACTAGGTTACTCATATGAAACTAGTCCGAACAAAACTTGAAGGTTGATTGATTGCATAAAATAACAAGCAGAATAAAATAAGTAGCAAGGCTTTGTAGACAATAGAGCAAAATAGGATTCTTGGGATCACAATGTTTAATCACCTAGTGCCAATTAACGTTTGTAATATTTGGTTTGGAATTAAGATTTGTATGGGAATGCAAAGTGGAATCGAATTACTCCCGTAATCTCTATTCCTAGTGAATTTCCACTCCCATGGCTTAAACACCCAATAAGATCAAAGATCAGCATTCAATTATTCCTAATTACTACCATCTCCCGATGAGCAATAATCTAGAATAAACTTCCCCTAATAAGTTCCCCTTTCCCAAGGACCAACCATTAGGTGCAATCGTGTGTGCCCTAATTTATGCCCCAACTCCCATTGGTGACACAAACATGACTGTGAAGCTAGTAATTTAGGCCTTTAACTACCAACAACAACAGATTAAAACAAGATTGCAACACAAATCATAAAACCAAACATGAATATATTAAGAAATTAACGAACTAGGCACATAGGTTCATAAACAAATTCACCCAAAAATCCCTAAGGAATTTAGCCGAGCATGGCTAAATTATACATAGCAAATGTGAATAAAGGATTACAAATCATTAGAAGAGTACAAGAATTAACCAAGCGATTCTCCCAAATCTCCCTGGCTTCCTCCTTGCTTCCAAAGACGACTTGAGCCTCTTGATTTCTCTCTTTCTTGTCTACAAAGAACTCTAAAAATATCTCCGGTGTCTGGTCTTTCATTAGGGTTGAGGAAGGAGGGATTTTATAGTGGGTACAAAGTTGAGATGAAATAGGAATCTTGTACCCAATTGGACTCAAATTCTAATTCCTATATTTAAATAAAGAAATTGTCGTCTTTAATGATATTTAGAATTTGGAAGATTCCTTGAATTGCTAACTTTTAATATGGAGATATGAGCCTTGAAATCCGTGCAATTGATATTAGGAAAAGAAATCTCGCGCTTGTATTGAATTTTGCCCAGCTACGCCACTTTAGGCGTCTGTTTTTATCCCAGAAATAGACGCCTATTCTCTCGACGCGTCGAGAATTTTCTCCACGCGTCGAGACTTCCTGTGCGCGAATTAGTTAGCTACTGGAAAATTTCGACGCGTCGAGTCCACTGGGCCCTGAACTCATCCAAAATTGCTCCAAACTCATCCTTGAACTTCCCTTACTCATAGAATTGACCTACAATGGTTCAAAAACACTAACAAACACCGTAAAACATTCAAAACAAGTACGAACCATAATTAAATGATAATAGCAAGGAAAACCTGTATTAAATAAGCAAAATTAAAGAACTTAATTACTATGATGATTCAAAATAACCATAAAAACAAGCACAGATGTGATAACATCATCTTAAAATCCTAAAGAAACATGAACCACTTCAGAGAAAGATTAGAGAAGCCGTTTCTATTAAAACTGAAGCTCAAGAATTCCCAGAAATTGAGATTAACACCAGGTGAAGTTTGGGAGCCCATTTGCGTGGACTTGGAGCTCTACCAACCGGCTAGAATATTTTCTGACACATTGCCAGAAGATAAGATAAGATCTTTGACAAAATATACAAGAATTCAAAATTGGGATTGTGTTTTTCCAACAGACAGATTCTCAAACCAGCTATATAAGGATGAAGATTGAAGCAGAGGAAAGCAACGAACAAGAGAAAAAAACGAAGAGAGCTAAGTAGAGCTAAACAGAGTATACGAATTACAGAGGGCTTTCCAAAAATCAAGTGCTATACTTGAAATATCCAAGTGAGAAAAACACTCAGAGATACAGAGCTTTCAAGAGAAATCATTCAAGGTGTTAAATCTTCATCACAAGAGACTTGCAGTACACTGAAGATCATCTACAGAGTCTCAAAGTTAGAAGCAAGAAAAACTTGTTTTTCTACAAACAAGTGACATCCCTACGGGAGTGTAGGAAAGAGACTGTCACAAGGAAGTGTGAAGTCTTGGAGAAGGGAAAGTAGCACGAAGTTGTGAAATCCAAGTTGCAGTTCTACCGGAGCGTAGAAGTGGGAGGAAGTAACACAGAGTTGTGAAATCCTGGAAACTAGCACGGAGTTGTGAAATCTGAATTGTAGTTCTACTAGAGCGTAGAAAGGGGAGGAAAGTAACGCGGAGACGTGAAATCTTGTAAAAGTGTTGTAGGCACTGGGAAAAGGGCGTGATTAGTGCGGGCTTGGTAATCAAAGCACTAAATCACGAAATTCATTGTATCTTGGAACCAAAACGTGGTGGATATAGTGAATTGCTCTTGGAGATAAGAGCAAGTGGAGTAGGAGGATTACATCACTTTCGAACTACTATAATTGCCTTGTGTTCTTTACTGCTTTATTTACTTACTGCTTCTTGCTTGCTTCTCATGTGGATATACTTGACTCTAACAATCTAGTTAAGAGTTTTGGTTTCTTTGTTGCCTTAGGGCATCCTCAATAGTTGAGGATTTACCTCACATTTTTGTGGGCCCCAACATCCACCTCATCATCCACTATCTCACTCATTCGCAAAATCTCTTCTTCCCATTAGTTTTAAGTTTTTTGACAACTTTTTGTGGACCCACTATTTTATCTCTAAAATTTAATTAATTATTTATTTTAGGAATTGAATCCTATGCCAACCACGTGGAGCTGAAACCATCAATCTTCTCCCACTTTATGGAGTCACATCAAACTATGCAAGTGGAAGGACACTTTAGCTGACAAAATTTTTCATTTTGCAGGAAGAAGAATTCATCAAAATCTCCCCTTCCCATTTGTGAAAAACTTGACAAAGAAAATTATACTGTTCCAAAATCTCCCCAAAATCCCCTTTTGGGGATGCCCTTAGCAGTTATTGTAAAGTCTATTCACCCCGC